GTTAGAATAAGAATGTCATTGGTCGTCTAGTGATGCAGGGCTTTACCTGCTAGTTTTTACTATACCAGCCATCTTTTTCGTATTTCATATTCGGTACTTCATATCTATTGTATTGTATTGCTGTTATTTTATTATGCATTTTTATGGTACTAATATATCGGCTTCTGTTGCTTTTTGAGCCGAGGGTCTCCTGGAAACAACCTCTCTACCCTTCGGGGTAGGGGTAAGGTCTGCGTACATATTACCCTCCCCAGACCCCACTTGTGGGATTATACTGGGTTGTTGTTGTTGTTGTTGTATACAATCGAACTTCTATCAAAAGTAATATCTTGTTGTAAACGTCACACATAATAGTTTCTATTATCAATCACAAATAAATGCAAGTTCAGAATTTGGAGAGTTTATGAATTTTTACGGGCTACAACAATCTCAAGTTAAGTACTATAATAATAACAAGATAAAAAATTTAGTAAATTTTCTTAATATAAATACAACATGTGTGAAAAAAATATTGAGTTAACGTTATCTCCTAGATTAAAAGCTAGCTAGGTATGAAATACACATGAAAAGTCAAAAGTAAATTGTTACATGAAAGCTTGAAAAAAAAAGCTTGAGCTCAAAGGAAAACAAATTGAAGAAGGAATCAGCAAAAGTCACGTGGGACAAGTCGCAAGAATTCGTTATTATCATCGGAAATTATTTAATAAAAATATTCGTAAGACATTTCTACTATTAGATTTATTAATTTCTTACAAAAAATGTCAATCAGTAATATTCCTTTCGAATATATTAGTCAGGAAGTAAGAAAGTGTAATTGTATCAGAGAAAACAATTATACCGTAGAGATTGAAATTGAAATTGAAATTTAGACTGTATTATAATAATCTATCATGGGAATTTAATAAATCCAACTCTTTGTCCTTATTCAGTTCTTCAAGATTAAAAATTATTTATTTGAATTTAAAATAGTAACTTACAAGTTTCAATGGATTCTCTCAAATAGTAATCAAGATAATATAAATTCGTAATGTAAATTATTCAAATTTGATGGCACATTACGTAAATCTTATTACTTTCTTAGTTTTAATTTGTTTGAATCTTTTTGGAGTATGTGAGTTAAATTGAATTTTTTTTAAAGTGAAGCTGGGTATAAAAATTTTAAGTTCTTAAAAATAGAATTTACGTATACAGAAATTAAATAAAAAATACTTGACAATACATAATTCGAATTATTATTAGCCTTTACTAAACAATTATTACCTTTACTTGTTAATTTCGTTGGGGACGTAAAAGACACGACAATTGACATCAGCTAACTAAAATCCGCTTCTAATAAGGTTAAAGCGTGATGTAATCACAAAACGATTCAAGTTGACTAAGGTCAATTTAATACAACTAGTGTTTAGTGTACAAGTGGATATCGTTTGAATTACTCGCTTCGTTCCAATTTATGTGAACATGTTTGACTGTGCATGGAGTTTAAGAAAAAAATGAAGACTTTTGGAATTTGTGGTCCTAAATAAGTCCAAATGGGGCCTGGAGTATTTGTGTGGTTATAAAAGCTTCTCATTAAGGGTAGAGTTGTAACTTTAAGCTAATTTGTTACCAAATTTAGAAAGAATTCATTCTTTTTAGAACAGACCAAAAAAGAAATAGATTCACATTCGTACATTATACTCCTATGTGTTAATCAATAGTGTATGCAAAAAACTTCGTAAGCAGTGTCATTATTTTTTAATAGGAAAACAAAGAAGTGAATAAATAAATAATTATTATAATGACATCATATTAAAAAAAATACAACATTTAAAATATTACTACGAATTTTTATTTTCTAAAATGTATAATAGACTCGTAGGAAATAGTACAAAATATACCTTTTTCCCGGGATGGTTTGATTTTTTTTTTTTGAGAAACTTATCACATAATTATATTTAGGTGACATTACAACTTTCAAACGACATTAGCAATCTGAAACTGAAACCCTTCTCTTCATCTGAGATCATATTTTGAGCAAATAAATACTAAATCAATTAATAACAAATTAATGAGGTGAATCCTAGTTGAGCTTAATAAATTCCAGACCAAATAGAACGAGACTCTTGTGTAGTGAGAAGAATATAAAAGCATTAATTAACGCGTTCGGTATACTATGATAGACGAAAAATGTAATATCAAAAATGTGCAATGAATGCAAGAAACGACAATGGTTATAGTGTAAAGGAACTGTCACCCAATGATTATGTGATTGGGTATATCTTCCTTCTAATGACATGAAAAGGTATACTCTTGATATGAATGTGGAATCTTTGAGATTTATGGATAAAGATCGAATAACATATGCTTGAATAAAGTAAATAAGACAATTCCTTCGTATATCTCTTTCTTGACTTTACAATGTGTATCTTAGTTCTCAAAAGGCAGATCCCCCAATTATTCATTGTCTCCTCCTATTTATAAGGGACATTCCCCAAAAAAAAACCCTAAAAAGTGCAACGCAGAGAATATTCAAAGTAATATTCTTCTTGCCTCTCTCTAAGTTCAAGTTACCGTTATTATTTTATCTCAGCTGCCTGATTTTGGTCGTCGGCCTTTATCACAACGATCGCTGGTCGCTGTGTCGTGAGCGACCCTGTCCTATGTCTTGCTTATCGGTTACCGTGGTTGTCAAAATTTGGACCTATACAGTTACAGCAGAGAACCAAAAGAATTCGAGCTTACAGAAATCATAGATGGTATAAACAAACAATTCTCTGATACTTTATATATAACATAGACACGAGTTTGTCCGTGATAGAATAGCCCCCCTTTCTTCTGAAATCATCTATAAGATCGTACAATATGAATTGGTTTTCTTCGCCGGCTTGTAGAACATCTGTGAAGCAGCGCTTAGATCTGAACTCTTCTCAATCAAACTGTCTAGCTATCTACAAGAGAACATGTGATTAGCATCGGAATTTAGCGTGGGAATTCAATTCCCTAGCTAATATACGCCTTTAGCTAGGGATGTAGCTAGAGAAGTCCAATTTCCTTGCAATTTTTTTCGATTAAAAATTTAGTCACAAAATTAGCTAGGAATTAGCTAGGGACTATTCCTTGCTAAATGATAGCTACAGATTTTTCCTAGCCAAATTTATAGCTAATTTTTAGCGGGAATTCTAATTTGGCGTTAAATTTATTTTTTCAAAAGATCATAGTTAGCTAGGGACACAGTCCGTAGCGCATCCCTAACAATGTGCTAGCTAGGAAAGACTCTTTAGCTAATGTATAGCCAAATTTTAGCGGAAATCTTATTTTGGCGCTAATAATTTTGCCGAAAGATTATCTTTTAGCTAGGATTACATACCCTAGATAATCCCTAGCTAAAAAGTAGCTAAGGTTTCGTGGGAAATTCTAATATGGCGCTAATTTTTTTTGTCAAATTTAGTTGTTTAGCTAGGGATGAATCCAAGCTAGTCTCTAGAAAATTATTATTATAATTATATTATTATTATTATTATTATTATTATTATTATTTAATAATAATAATAGTGGTAATAAGAGTTTTATATCCATTTTTGGACTTTTAATTGAAATTCCTAAAGATCCGTCTTAGGGCTTTTGATTGAAATCTTAAAGGCAACCTTTTTACTTAAAATTGTAAAGTTAACGCTTAACTTGGTAATCTTATTTTAATTGGACTACTGTATCGCAAATCCTTAAAATTCGCTAAACGCCCACACACTCTTCCACGTCTCTTCATTCCTCTAAACCCTCAACGATCATCTTCTAATTTAGTGAAGGAAGAATGCTAATTATCGATGCCGCTTGTAAGCTTCTGTGAAGGTAAGAATTTCTCCTATACCTAAAGTATCTGTGCAAGGAGGTTTTTTGTGAGTGTTTAATTTATCGTGAGTGTTCATCAGTAACTTTCTCGCACCAGGAACTCTTGTCATTGTTTAATTTTACGTTAATCTGAAACTAAGAGATAGCAATTACCCCAATGATTTATGTTCCTATCATATATATATATAGAAATTGAACTTTCAGTAATGTGATTTAAATTGTTTCTACTTGTATGTTTTGTTTGATTTTTGCTAATTATAAAATTTTTGTCCTTATATTTCTCTATTGAACAACTATTTCTGGATTTGAGAGGAAAATAATGAAGAATTATTTCTTCTATTGTAAACCAAGTAAAATTAATTTACACGAGGGCAACATGATAAGTGAAGAAGAATTCAATTAATACAATTTTATACTTGTAATATATGACTGGAAAGAAAAAGAAGTATATGTGACTTTTGTAGGTTTACTAGCAAACAAAATTGATGTGAGATAGTAAATTTCACTTACAAATATGTGTCAAATAGAAAACAGATCCAACTTCTACTATTTGTTTTTAAGAAAATCTAAGTGTTTTTTTCTCTTAATTAAATGGTTATTCTGAATCCTTCTCAATTAGCTATTTGTGGTGTTGTCGATCTGTTTAAATTGGTGAACTAAGAATTTAAGAAGATTTGGATCTCATTTACTTTGAGTATTAACTAACTAGCACTAAAAATAGTGTTTTGTCATTGTTTGTTAGATAGGAAGTATGAGTTCTTTTAGAGCTGATCGTATCTGGATGTATAATAGACTAGTGCCAAGTCGGAAAGGAGTAACTTCTGCCTTCATAGAAAGTGTGCATGAATTTTTAAGGTTTGCATTAATGCAACATGACTTCGTTTCTAATGGAAGTATAAGACAGAAAAAGATCATTTCTTATCGAAGAAGATCTATTAAAAAGGGAAAAAATAGGTGAATTGTTTTGCTAAAAGGTCAAATAGAGAGGTCTTTGTTATGCTTGTTCTAGCAAAATATTTGGATGGTCAAATTTTTATACTTTATATGTTCTGTTATGCTTGTTCTAGCAAAATATTTGGATGGTCAAATTTTTATATTTTATATGTTCTGTTTGGCTAGTGTATTATTATTATTATTATTGTTCTACTCTTCTTGCCAGTATTTGATCAGGAAGCATGACAAGGGGAAGAGGCACTAAACGTAGTTGGGGAGGTCGTGGGGGCATGTCTAACAAAGGGGGAGAAGGCTACCAACAACTATCAAACACTTCCCATGCCAATATTAGTGAACCATCAACCCCTATATCTCAACAAGTTGGTTCAAACCAACATATTATCTCGTCTCATGAAAGTAGTTTTCGGCAGCTTATACGTACATCTCAAGATGTTCATGCTCAACAAACAACTTCAGCTTCTCAAAATATTGGTGGTCAACAAGCAACTCCTGCTTCCCTGAATATTGGTCATCAACAAGCACCTCGTTCTTCTCAGGATGTTGGTTCTCAACAAGAAACTCATTCTCAAGATGTTTCTGCTGCACAAACACTTGCATCTTATGGAAGTAGTAATCCACAGGCAAGACGAGATACTACTCGTGGAATAATATCTTTGAAAGTAAACGGAGACACGTAAGTAAATCTAGTTATACAAGTTGTGGTTAAATTCGTTTTCATTTAGTTATCTTCCAAATAAATATTATATTGATCATTTTGTAGATTTTGCCCACATGAAGCTGTTCGAAATGTAACAATAACCTTTAAGAAAAGCTTCTCTGGATCATAGCATTGTTGGAGCAAAGTTCTGGAGCATGTACGAGATAGATGGTTCAATGACTTCGAGGTATTTATACTTCACTGTCGTAATTGACTTAACTTGATAAATGATACCAAACTGAATGTTTACTTTCTAATTGCAGAAAAATTATTCTTTTCCTAGTGAGGATAAAGTTTTTATTCAAAGAACTTTTGAGCATGTGGGGAGTGAAAGGTTAAGTGACAGTTTGGGAAAAGCAAAAGGACAATTTTTGAAAACAAAAGAAATACCGCGATGGATTGCTAAAGATCACTGGGACATTTTGATGGAATATTGGAACTCTGAGAATTTTAAAAAGAAATCAAAAATCAACTCGAAGAACAGAATGTCATCTAATAATGGAGAAGGTCCTTCCTTACATACCGGAGGATCAGTTGCATTTGCTGAGTACAGAAGAAGACACGTATTTTTTTTTAATCTTTTCAGTATTAATTAGTATTAGTCTAATTTTTTTCTATGATATATTCTGTTAATTAACAATATTCTTAATGATTGTAGAAGGAGCTAACAGGGAAAGATCTCCGTAATGATGAATTATTTCTGAAGACTCACATAACCAAAAATGAAAAGAAGTGGATATGTGGAAAGTCAGAAAGGATGTGGGTACGTTTTTATCTCATTTTTTCAGTGCAAAACCTGCCGAGTCTTCTACTTTCTCCCCTTTCTCATTGTTAGTCTTGTATATTCTTCATTTGTGTTAGAAAAATATTTTATTACACTGTCTTTTTTTTACTTTTCTAATCTACTTGGTCGATGTTTTCATTCTGATTGTTGTTCTCATTATTTTTGTGAATAACTTTGATCCCCAATAGGCTTCCCCATTAGCAGCTCCCTTCACTTTAGTATCAATAGAATGGTTACCAGCTACTCTATTTGTAGGATTCACCTTATCATCTTCATAAGCCCAAGGGAAATTTAACCCATGATTTTTTGTTCATTTTACACTTCTCAAACTAAGAAAGTGGTTCAACTGATCAAAGTAAAAGTGGTTCAAGCTATCATTTTCTTCTATGCATGTCATTTCATATATCCTTTCTCAAAATTTTATGTATCTGAAAGTATCTTGATCCCTTGGCATGATTACTGTCATGGGCTGCTTTCTAGACACGCCCCATGACCCCTTGGTCGCGCCCCATGGCGGCCTAGCAAGCCTCACAATGCCTAGCGCCATGGTCGGCCCCGTGGTCTTGGCTGCGCCAAGTGACAAGCGCGCATGCACCTCTGTCGCCCCACCGATGCCTCTCACCAGCGCCCAGTGGCTGGCCAATGACAACAATGCCGCGCGCCCTGACAATGCCGCGCGCGCAGATCTTGATGCCTCTCCAGCGCCCAGCTGCAGGCCCATTCCAGCAGCGCCTCACACACAGACCCTGATGCCAAGCACCAGCGCCCAGCCTCAGGCCAACACAGCAAGTGTCGTGCGCGCCCACAGCTACGCGCTCGCAGACCCTGACCCGCAAGACAAAGTTGCTGCCATCGGACTTGGTTCTACATTGTAATAAACTAAGTCCTTTTCATTGTAATTATAGGCTAGTTTACATCATTTTCATTCAGTGTTCTTCTACAGCTTTATTAGGACTAGTCATGTAATTTTGGTTTATTTTTTTAAGTATTTTTAGGGGGGATCAAGCAATCAAACATTTTCAAGCAATCAATTTTCTGTACTGGTGTCTCTCCCCCTCGACACCGCATCTTTTGTAATCAGCATTTCATTCATCAATAAAATCATAATCATCCAAAATCCAATTCTCTCTCAGCTTCCGCAATTGCTCGTGACATTGGTTTTCTCGCACGACACTGACAATCTAGTCTAGCGTGCGGAGGGGACCTCATTGGCGGACATTAACCGCACTGACATTGGTTGCTTAGCCTTACGTTGCCCTTCCAAAGAACATCAGAGAGGCCCCGCGTAACAGTAGGTATCAGAGCCTAGGCTCGACATCGGACGAGGGAACACATTTGCCATCATCACTATTTCTGACTATGGTGAATCATGGGGAGCGTCTAGCATCCCTAGAAGAGACGGTTGACCGATTACGACCCATCGTGGATACGGTGCCTGATCAAAACAACAACCTAGTGCAAAGGTTGGACGACCTGGACCGCCGAATGCGGCAGGCGGAAAATGACATTGCAAACATCAGTCGTGACTTTGAGGATGACCGACAAACGACAGCCATTGAAACTGCCAATATTCATGGCAAATTTGAGCACATGAGCATGCCGACAATTTAGTTCATCAGCAACAAGAGGCAGACAGACTAACTGCCATGCAGCAAACCATAGACGACTTGACAGGCAAGCTCAATATTGTCAATGCTGCCCTACAGAGCCTTCTTTGAGGAGGTGAGAACCATATCAAGGGTGCAGTAAACCTTACCCCCATTCCACAAAAGCTTAAAATACCGGAGCCAAAGCCATACGACGGATCCCGGGATGCTAAAGAAGTGGAAAACTTCATCTTCGACATCGAACAATACTTTGATGCCGTGGGCCATTTGGAAGAATCCAAAAAGGTAGCAACTGCTGCCATGTATCTCCAGGGCAATGCCAAACTTTGGTGGCGGGTCAAACATGAAGCCATCAAGGCCGGGAAGATACTCTCCAGACATGGGATGAATTGAAGGTAGCACTACGCCTGTAATTCTTTCCCAAAAATGTGGAGTACAACGCAAGGAGAAAGCTACGGGAGCTCCGCCACACCAGATCAGTGCGGGAGTAAGTGCACAAATTCTCCGCACTCATGCTAAACATACGCGACATGGGGGACAAAGACAAACTCTTCGCATTCATAGAAGGTTTGAAACCTCATGCCCGTATGGAACTACAGAGACAACGGGTAGACACCCTGCCCAAGGCCATTCAAGCTGCAGAATGTCTTGGCGATTATCATTTGGGAACTCAGAACGACAGGCCCTAGCCGTCTGTCTGAGGGGGATTCAATGGGAACCATCCCAGCAATGGTGGCCCAAGCAAAAGTGGGGGAGATCGGAGTGCATCCAAAACTAAGACTCCTCCCTCCAACAGCAACAGTGCTGCATCCATCAACAACAATCAGGGGAGAAAGCCTCCCTCAAAATGCCGTCATTGTGGCGGGGCACATTGGAACAATGAAAGCCCAAACATAAAGGTCAATGCTCATCAAACAGTCAGATGCATCAGACACATCAGAATCAGACCAGGTAGGCGCCTTCAATGCAATTGTTGGCT